GGTTGTTCTGATCCTTCAAGAGCCAAGAGGGTTCGTGTGTTGGAGCTTTCACGCAGGCAACTATTCTATTCTCGTTTACTATTCTTAATTTCATTCTTTGCACATGATGTTTTTTTTTTTGGTTTATGATCAGAAAAAGTTCTTGATCACATTAGTGATCACGTTCTTCATTCTTAATTAATTAATCAGCTTTACATTTTGGACTTTCTAAAAACAATCTGGATAACTTAATTATTAAAAACAGTTTGTAATAAACCAACTCAACTAATAAATATGCATAAATACTCAACTGTAAGGTTTATGAGTTACGTCATCTCACTAATTTATCTTTTAGATATAAAATTTCAATCATAAATTTATTATCGAGAGTGGTTGATTTAGGAAAATAAATTCTCTACCAACAGGTTGAGAAATCCCAACCATTGATATGTTATAATAACTTTTATATATTTACTTATTAAATCTATACCATTTGATTTCAATTGTATGATTCGTATTACATTGACATCAAGATAAGGTGGTATTGTGATGAATATGTCATTTTGGATTAAGAATAGTTATGGGACCCAAATGACATAATCCATATTCGTTGTTTCAACCGTCATATTTGTTAATTAAAATAAAAAAGTGATGTTATATTCTTTAATTAAAAATAAGCAATGATTGATTTAGTAAAATAGTTTATAATTTACTTCAATTTGGTAACTTTATTTTGGGTCTCCATGGCCATCAAGTTAGATTAAGAAAAAATAGATATGTAATGACATTAAATTAATTTTATTTTGTTAATGAATAATTATCATATATTTTGTCAAATTAGACGATAATTTTTAAATTAATGTATAACATAAGAAAGTAATAAATTTTTATTGTAGGACAATATAAAATTATTTTATATGCATAATTAAAAATGTATAAATTTATATCGTTTGATTAAAATCGATCAATCCGTTGTTTTTTTTGTGTAAAGAGATTGGATGTCAGATTAATTCAATTGTTTAATTTAGTCAGATTCAGATGATTATTTTAAATTCGTCAAAAATTAAAATCAATCAAACTTAATTAATATTTAATTTATTTATTTTTATTATTATATAATTATATAAAAAAAATCATTATAATTATTATCATTTTTATAATCTAATTGTAATATTCTGTTCTCATTAAAAATACATTTGTAATTTAAATTTTGAATATGATTTAATTTATGATTTAAATATGATAATGGTTAAGTTAATGTTAAATAATATTTAAAATATTATTATATGATAATAACTTTTTTCAATAATAAAAAATAGTTTTTATTTAAATTTTATTTTAAAATTTTGATAATTTTTAAAAAAAATTAAAAATAAATATTTGTATAGCTTTATTCAATAAATATTAACAGACTAACCCGAATGATTTACCCATCAAACCAATCAAATTTGACGAAAATCAAAACTTTATCGCTTGAAATTGAATCTTAAAAATAAAATAGTAATTTATGTCAGATTTAAATTTTAAATCTGAAATCGATCTAAACCGATCGATTGTCGAGCAATATTTATAACAATCATTATTCCGATCACATCACAAATAATATTCTTAACATGTCATCTGGATTAACATGTTAGCTTGTGACATTGTTTATTAACCAAGACAAACAAGTGGTATGTGGGGTCCATTTGAAATGGAATTATTGATAAATTTATAGTGGAAAGAACTATGAACAATTCAAAGATGAAAAAGTGATAAAATAAGTGTAGAACTATATTCTTATTCGAATAAAAAAGTATATAGTGAAAGTTACATTTTTCATAGTTTGATAAAAGAATAATATTTTTATTGATTGATTATTTGTTTGTTGATGAGGTAACAGATTGAAGCACCGCGGCCCTGATTGGAGTGGGCTCCACCAACATGGTGACTGTTTCTTGGCACACCAACGGTTAGCCATAGTTGATCCTGCTTCTGGGGATCAACCACTCTTCAATGAGGACAAATCCGTCATTGTCACGGTACGCCATTAACCTCAATTATGCTATATGTAGTTATCAGTATCTAGTTATCGGTATCTGATACTGACACGTGTTGATATCAGGTAAACGGAGAGATTTACAATCATGAAGATTTAAGGAAACAGTTGTCTAATCATACTTTCAGAACTGGAAGTGATTGTGATGTTATTGCGCATTTGGTAATTGGTCATAATTAAGTTTAAACTCATGATCAACCTGATGTGTCTCTTGGATAATTATATGTATAAATCAAAATTGTACGAAATGGTGCAAAAAATTTGTTACTGATGATAATCTTTTTTTCTTCAATAGTATGAGGAATATGGAGAAGACTTTGTGGATATGTTGGATGGTATATTTTCGTTTGTTCTATTGGATACTCGCGACAACAGTTATATTGTGGCTAGAGATGCTATTGGTGTAACTTCTCTATACATTGGTTGGGGATTAGATGGTAATGTTATATGTATTATTGGATTTATAGTTTTTGGAATTTGAGGAAATTTAAATTGAGAAAGTTTTCAATGTGTTTGGATTCAGGTTCGGTTTGGATTTCATCGGAAATGAAAGGTTTGAACGATGATTGTGAACATTTTGAGTGTTTTCCACCTGGTCATTTGTATTCTAGCAAAGATAGTGGCTTCAGAAGATGGTACAATCCTCTTTGGTACTCTGAGGCTATTCCGTCGGCTCCTTATGATCCTCTTGCTCTGAGGCATGCCTTTGAGAAGGTATGATTCATAAAGGTCATATCACCACACAGAACTGTCTTACACGCCTTCAAAGACGACTCTCTCACCAAAATTCCTTTTGGTTGGAAACTTTGTTCGTGATATCAAATGACGTGTTGATTGTGATTTACAGGCAGTGATAAAAAGGTTGATGACTGATGTACCTTTTGGTGTTCTACTGTCCGGTGGTTTGGATTCGTCATTGGTTGCATCCATCACTTCTCGCTACCTAGCCACCACGAAAGCTGCTGAGCAATGGGGATCAAAGTTACATTCATTCTGCGTTGGACTTGAGGTTTGCATATGTTTATTCTGAGTTACTTTTTGTTAAGTTTCTGTACTTTAAATGTCGTCTTAATATTCGATCTTCTAATGTTGAGTAGGGATCACCTGATCTTAAGGCTGGAAAAGAAGTTGCTGATTATCTCGGAACTGTTCATCATGAGTTTACCTTTACTGTTCAGGTAACAGCTTGAAATCGATGTTCGATGGCTACTTCAATATTTGAAACCAAGATTATGAAATGAATGATATATGGTGTTATGTTATGTTATGTAGGATGGTATAGATGCAATTGAGGATGTTATATACCATGTTGAAACATATGATGTGACTTCAATTAGAGCAAGCACACCTATGTTTCTTATGTCAAGAAAGATTAAATCACTTGGTGTCAAATGGGTGATCTCTGGTGAAGGATCCGACGAGATCTTTGGTGGATATCTGTACTTTCACAAAGCACCAAATAAGGAAGAGTTTCACCAAGAAACATGCCGCAAGGTCGTTAAAATTATCATGTTCCGTATTAATACACAGTTTAAGGGGTTGGAGTGTAATGATTAATAGACATGTTTTTTTTTTTATATATGCAGATCAAAGCACTCCACCAATATGATTGCCAGAGAGCTAATAAATCGACTTTCGCTTGGGGTCTAGAAGCTAGAGTTCCGTTTTTGGACAAGGAGTTTATCAATGTTGCTATGAATATTGATCCTGAGAATAAAATGGTATCAATCAAGAATGTTACTATGTTGTTTCAGTACTTGTACACGAATGTTACTAAGCCGGTTTATTTAAAAATTGCAGATAAAACGAGATGAAGGACGAATTGAGAAGTATATTTTGAGGCGGGCGTTTGATGATGAAGAGAATCCTTATCTGCCAAAGGTATGAAGTAATTTTCTGCACTATCGATATATGCTTAACTGGCGAAACTAACACTGAAACATTCGATTTCATGCAGCATATTTTATATAGGCAGAAAGAACAATTCAGTGATGGAGTCGGTTATAGTTGGATTGATGGCCTTAAAGCTCATGCTGCAAAACATGTATGAAATCTTAATCCAACTTTTTTCCCTTACGATTCAGTGATGAAGTTTGTTATTGTTACGAAATTTGTGTTCCTTATTATTGATTCTTGACATTTTCCAATAGGTGACCGATAGAATGATGCTTAATGCTGGTAATATCTTCCCTCACAACACACCAAACACAAAGGAAGCATACTACTACAGAATGATCTTCGAGCGGTTTTTCCCTCAGGCAAGATAACCAATCAACTCTTCTTAATTTAATGAAACCATAAGCAATGTAGCACTGGTTACATAATACATTCAATCACTTCTATTTTCTTAAATTATTACTAGCGGTTATTTCTATGTCAGTATCGTATTTGGTGTCTCTGAGAGTACTTCAGATACCATAAGACAACATAGTTTAACAAGAGCTGATTACAAATTGGTATTTCTTAATCTTGTTTTGCAGAACTCAGCAAGGCTAACTGTTCCCGGAGGACCAACGGTTGCATGTAGTACAGCAAAAGCTGTTGAATGGGATGCTGCTTGGTCAAACAACCTTGATCCTTCTGGTAGAGCAGCACTCGGAGTTCATGATTCAGCTTATGAAAACCAGAACAAAGTCAACAAACCTGTTGAATTTGAGAAGATTATACCACTGGAAGCCACTCCTGTTGAGCTTGCCATCCAGGTCTAGTTTAAGCTCGCGCAAGGAATGACTGTTCTAGAAGAATGAAGATAATAATTGAAAACTAAACATAAATGAAGAATTTGCCTTCTGTTAAATTTTATCTGCGGCAAAACAATGCTATATATATAATATAGATAATGCTTTAAATAAGTATTGCATCTTGTATCATTTTGAATTCTGTAATTTGAACTGTTATCTTATCTTAATCTATGTGATTTCCAACCTATGTGTTTGTTACCTTGTACAAATTGCATAAGGTTTTATAATACTAATAAAATGAATTAATAGAATAAAGCAACATAGAGAAGTTGATTCCAAGTATCAGGCAAACCAGGAAGACACCAATGACTACAATCAGCCGAGTGATCCGGGTTAGCTTTCTGCTGAGGATTCAAATCACCACTATAAATGGAAGGATGTCCATCTTTCCTCAATGCTGATAGCATGGTGATGTCAAGAAGGTATGCAGGGTCGCGCATTTCACGAATCACCATATCCACTATTCTCATCTGTTGTTCGGTGTATGTTTCACCTCCTCCATGGTTTATTGTCGTGCCTCTGATTGGCGCTGTTTCACCATAGCAATTCTTTGTTGTCATCATAGTTGTTGCTCTACCAGCTTCTGCATTCCATTCATTTTGGCTACACGTATATTTCAGTGATCAGTGCGACAGAATCTTAGCATAACTAATAGCATAACTTTTATATTAACTTACTTGTAATGAGTTGGAGAAATTGCCTGAAATAACACTTGGGTTCTACTTCTGTCGATATTTGCATCGACCCAAGTAGCCCAAGTTTTCATACCACTTTCCAACGCTCCTAATCGATCCATGTCGGGATAATACTCCCCTCTTAATTCTAGATAATCCCATCTGCACTCAATTAATCAACCAAACAAACCAAAAGAATCAAATTTCTTCATATCTCAATCTAATGTAATTTTCTAATAGTACTTTCTTCAACAAGCTTAAAAAAGGAACTTATTCTTGCCTACCCTTGAAGTGATCCTTGATGAGTCCACCAATGTCCTGTGTTGAACAACAATACATCAGCACTCTTCCATGTATTACCATTCTTATCTGCCTCACCAAGCCTCAATATTCTCTTCCCTTGGACCATATCCATATCCACCAAATAAGGAGCTCTGTGAAATGAAATCTCCACACCATAGTCCTGTATATATATATCATATTAACTCCAATTTTAACCTCTTATCTAAAATGTTTCTCTTGTTTTCATAATAACATTCTATAGGAAAATTCACAAAAATGATGTATGCAATATGTAACTATATACCAAAGTTCTTGAAAATGTTTTGGGCCCCCTCAGATGCATACTATCTAATTGGACCCTTAAATCTATTAATGATTGAATTGACACTATCTATCAAACAATTTGTCAACAGCTTATTTGTCTTATTATTACCATAAAACATGACCCTACCCCTTTGTGATTCTCAAAGAAACTTTACAAAGAGGGAAACAACTATCCTGCTGCTGGAAAGTTATCATGGTTTAAATCTTAGTAGTAATAGAAATAGTGTGAAATGCCAAATGGGGTATTTGTAGATATCAGTAAAGTGATTTTTTCTTATCAAAATAGTAACTATGAAGCACCAATTTGCATTGGTGTCTTCTAAGACCCTACAAAACCACAAATTGACACATTGGTGTCGTGTCAGACCCTATAAGACTAGAAATTGTAGAGTGAGGATTGCTCCCACTTATAAATGTCATATATTGTCTCACGCTCAGGACCGACTTTTGATACCATGTTAAGAAATATGATTGAACCTAATTCAATTTTACAAAACAGGTGAGGATTGTCCCCCACTTATAAGCACATGCTCGGGCCATATATTATCTTACGTGAGACTCGTATCTCATCTGACCACAATTTTTCGGAATATATCAACGATCATGACCACAATTCTACAACTTTTTGTTAGCAATTAACTTAAAGCTCATAAATATGTTTTAGACTCACCATGAATGTGAATGTGGAAAGAGGATCTTCACTGACTAGTTGTGTCAATGATTGAGGTACTGCAGCAGATAGCATACAAATCAAAGACTGCCATTGGTTCCTTCCTAACGAGTCACCAACAAACATTACAGTTTTTCCTTTCATCTTCATCAGAAACTCAACACCATTGAACCTACCATTACACAATGCCACAAAAAACACCACCACTCAGAATATTCAAATCATACTATGAAACTACTACACTACATTATCTAAAAATACAATTTTTTTCTGTTGTTTGTGAACTTTGTACCTTGGGAGCTCACAATTGAGGGGCTTCCATCTGTATTTAAGGTAATCAGAATCCGGGCGGCCATACATTTGACAATTGAATTCCGGGTCTATGATTTCACAGCTAGAAGATTCATAAAAAGGGTAACTTTCATCATGAACCCAAGTGCCTACAAACAATGCACAAGTGCTTTGGTTGTTGTTAGATTTCAAAATGGGTTTTTGATGGTGAAAATGGTAATGGTGGTGATGATGATGATGATGAAGAGAAGAAGCTTTTTGGCATTGAAGTGAAAGTATGAAAAGAAGAGAGAAGAATGAAACGAAAACAGAAGAAAGAAGAGACATTGATGGAGAGTAGAAGAGAGGGAAAACCAAAAGGTGTTAATAGAAGAGGTAACTGTTTTGAGAGAAAAGGTATAGAAATGGTGGTGGGGGAGAGAAAAGGTGCTTCCTTTTTGTTGTGTGCATGTGAAGATGGATGAACGTGGTTTCGAATATGGAACTTTTTAAACCGGTTTAGTAAATTTGAGTTATTGTAGGTGAAATATACTTTCTCCTTTTCGAAATCACTTTCCTTTTATCAAATAAATTTTATTTTAAAATGATTTTTATTTTCAGTTTAAATTTTTATTTTTATTCTCTATATTACTTCTAATATATTAATAGAGTTAATTTTATAAAAATTTAATATCTTATAATAATATTATTATATTTTTTAATTTGTGTGCAAAAACTTTAAACAATAATATTTTAAAATATTTTAAAATAGAGAAAGTATCAATTATTGAATGTAATGGAAGAAAGAAATGATGAAAGTGAACAAGTGGATTTGATGACAAAATAGGATGCATAGATATTAAACTGTGAAACTCATAATTATGTAGTATTTGCTCCATCCTAAATTAAAATGACAAACCGATAGAAAATTGAAAATCATATAAAATTAAATATTATTGAATAATCTTCCTTAAGATATAATATGTAATGGATTAGTTTTTCAATTTTTTTATGAGATTAGATATTAGACATTATTAAAAGCAAGATTATACATAAATAATATGTAAATGGACTGCTTTGCTATTTTTCTTTGGATAACAAAATCATTCTTCTTAAAAATTATATTTATTGCTCTAGGTGACACAACATTGTTATGCATGAATATTTGTATTTTTTGTAAAAGATTCACAGTTTCTTGTGCTAGAAAATCAAAAGTGTCAAAGGCAAATGATATGAAAGTATGTTGATTGTCCCAACATGTACTCTTATGCTTGACCACTTTAATTGAAGCGACTTTGAAAGTTGTTTGTCCTATAATAAAATCTCCAGTCCTTAGTCCCACCAGTGAGAAAACCCCAGTCAAGTCTACACATGTATGTTTTCCTCATACCCATCCATACACCAGAATATATGTTTGACCACCTAAGAGTCAATCTCCCTTCCTGTGAGTCAATCAAGAAATTCGCAAGTGTCTCTTTCTTCACAGAAACTCTTGCACACCTAAATATATCAAATATGACATCCTTAACAAAGTCATGTCAGTATTTGAATTATGAAAGCTCCTTGCAATGAATAGTGTGCTCCCCAAATGTATCCAAGCACGCCTTGTGACAAACAGGACAAACCTCATCAACAGGAAATAAAAGAATCATAAACTGATATTTAAGAATGGTACGATACTCTATCGGAGACTTATGTTGGCCTAGACCATCAATATGGATATCAAGGAGAAAATCTTGAGCATGTGGTACTTGCAAACAACCAAAAACAACTTTTTATCTTACGGTCATGTGAAACTTTACATCCATATCTTGAACAATTTTACTAAAAAGGGCACTCATCAAATCATGTTTGTTGTACCCAAAATTTTCCCTCCCATTTCTTCAAGACATTATTCTAGGGTTCTCAAATGCTCAAGGTTGCTCAAGGATTGATCAGACAAATTCTTTTCCTAAGCAATTGACCTACAACTAGGATTTTGTGTTTCTAAGGGAATATTGGGTTTCTAAGGTCTCAAGTGGATTTGATGGTCTCTTTGTTAGCTGGAAATTTCGACTAAAGGTTTTCTAAGTTAGACTCGAATGTACTTCAGAATATTCCACTATTTTATTTATGTGAAGACATAAAGGTTGAGATTCGAATTGGGTAAAATTCGTTGGGAAAGCTTACCAATTCGAATTATTGAACAAAAATTGTATTCGAAATATGGTTAAGGTTTCAAACATGTTCGACCATCTTCAGAGATTGGCGCTCAGGATAAGAAGGAGATTTGAATTCAAATAATTTGGTTTTATCCGAAAGGACGCGTGGAAGGCTCTGAATTTGTCGAAGTCATGCAAATAGAAGCGTTGCATTGATTCGTGTAAAAGACCGTTAGGGTCGAAGTAGTATAAATGTTGACCTTAGTATTCCGATAGAGGTGTGTGAACGTCTTTGTACAAATTACTCAGAAATTACTCAAAGTACCAAGTGTTAAAGAGAAACGAGTTTATTGAGGATGTACGTATGATACACCCATTTAATATAAATGCATTTACTTTCTGCAGAATTTCCAGTAACATTTACTTAAGTCTTTTACCATTTCAAGTTTAGAAGTAATTTTACTTTCACTTTATATGAATTTTAATTCGACATTTGAAGCCATTTGTCTTCATATACAAAACATGTTAAATACAATAATCAAGTTAAAAGATTGATAAAGACACTCGTGTCCTGAGATCAATCTGATCGATTTCGCAAGTAACTGGATCCGTGAAAAGATTTGGAAGATCAGTGGTTGTTTACCAAAATTCGAGGGTAAACAAATTGGCACACCCGGTGGGACCTGTGTCTTTATCCATCTTGCTTTTTACTTGTTTATTGCATGAGATTGAGAAGTGGAAAACTAGCCAACAATATAAATCCTAGACCAAAAGGGCAACGCATTAGGGGAATGGATAACCCACCCACTAGTGAGGCGCAACAAGTTCACCCTCCTGTGGGAGGAAACACCAGCGCCTCGAATACAAATGAAGTGGCGACGACAAGTCAAGGGACCGCAACGATCCCTTCGACAGCAAGCGTTGCAGTTATACCCCAAAATACAAACGCTTCAACTATTTCGTCAAACCACCATAACGAACATGTCGTTGTGTCTATAGCCAATCAAAATCCACCATCAACACCCAGGCCTTCGATAGGTATGTCTAGAACTTTTCCATCAGGATTTATAATCCTAACGTCAGATCCTATATACGGCATGCCAACTTCGTTCATGACGGGATTTCAAAATAATATGGCAACATACACCCGTCCCGTAACATCTACTTTATCACCACTACAAGGATCAGGGTCTAGGATAAACCATATGGCTAGAAACAATTCACAGTCAACCCAAATACCTGCTATCACCACAAATACACAAGCAGTCATAAGGCAACAAATGGATGATAGCAACCACGAGATGTTGGGCGTATTAGCCCAACAGATGGGTACGATTTTCAACCCTTTAATTCAAAGTACTACACACACTAACTTGCAAAAGGCCCAAGCAAACCAACAGATGGCAGCACAAATAGGGCGTCTTGCAGATTTCTTTGGTGCGCCCAGAGAAGCAGTTCGACAGCCACCCCCACAGCCCACATGGGTAAGGGAGAACCAAGGCATCATATTCCAAGAAGAGCCAACCATAAATCAGGCCCAACCTTTGATTCACCCTGAAGTCGAAGTCCAACAACCAATTCGAAGGGAGGAACCACCCAGACCCCAACAGGCTATCCCCAGGGATGAACCAGGGGGAAGGGTAGTTTTGGTGAATCGAAACCAAGATGTTGATGAAATCCTTCAGGGTTGTCGACAGAATGATATGGTGGGAAACAATAACCTAGCAGCCTTAGTCGAAAGGATTATGGTGCGAAATGGGGTAAAATTAGGCATGTGCAGACCAAATTATACATCCCCTTTGTCAGAATATATTCAACAAACTGAATTGCCGAGGGGATGGAAAGTACCCAAATTCACCAAGTTTTCTGGCGACACTAGTGAATCTACCATAGAACATATCGCCAAATACCTTACAGAGGCGGGGGATATAGAAAATAATGAAAATATAAGGGTTAAATACTTCCCTTCTTCGCTGACGAAAAATGCTTTTACCTGGTTCACCACCCTCGCGGCGAATTCCATCCATGATTGGACTCGTTTAGAGAGATTGTTTCATGAACAATTTTATGTAGGATAAACCAAGATTAGTCTAAGCGAATTGGCAAATGTCAAGCGAAAATTTAATGAGCCTGTAGACGATTACCTCAACAGATTCTGTTTGTTGAAAGCAAGATGCTTCACGCAAGTTCTAGAACACGAGTTGGTCGAAATGGCAGCAAGAGGTTTGGACTTTTCTATCAGGAAAAAGTTAGATCCCCATTATTTGAGGGATATGGCGCAATTGGCTGATAGGGTTCGACAAGTTGAGCGTTTGAAGATCGAAAAGGCTAGGGCGAAACAAAGTCATAGAAAATAAAGAGTGGCTTATATCGAAGCCTGCTCAGACGAAAGAGAAGTCAAAGAGCTCAGAAGTTGAAGAGCACGAAATAGATCTTGCAGAGTTGAAACAAGGACCACCGTATCCTTGCAAAATCTTGACTCCTGCGAATGGAAAAATCCCGTCGAACCAGGAAGGAGCGACAAATTTCCAAGAAAATCTTATACGTTAGACATCACCAAGTGTGATGAAATTTTCGACTTGCTAGTTAAAGATGGCCAGATGATAGTGCCCCCCTGGTGCTAAAATTCCTCCGTTAGAACAACAGAAGAAAAGGGGTTTCTGTAAGTATCATAATTTTCTAGGCCACAAAACCTCACATTGCTTTCTTTTCATGGATCTGATACAAAAAGCAATTCAGGATGGAAGGCTGAAGTTTGGGGAAAAACCCAAACCTCAAATGAGGATTGATGCTGACCCTATGAAGGTTGCCGAGACCAATTATGATGAGCCTGCTGCCATCAACTTGGTGGACATTGCTGAAGTCGAAGGGTTACAACCAGAACAAAACCAAGGGTCTGACAAGGCCTCAGCGCCAGGAGTTGCTAAAGAACTCGTGGTGGAAAAGGGAACAAGCGCTACTGATGGCGCAATGAAGAGTGCAATAAAGACCAAGACTATTGATGGTCTTAGGGTCAAGTTTGAAGGAATGAAACTTGTTGAGGGTCCAAAATTAGAAGTGAACATGGTGGACCTGAACCAACTCTCCCCAGAAATGGAGGAGATAGAAAAGAGACTCAAAATGGAGAATGAAAAGATAAAGGCAGGAGACCAAAAGGTGAGTTTGGTGGATTACGTATTCCATTGCCGCTCGAAGAACCCAAAGGGG